ATGCGTCTGACTGTTGGAAACTGTTTTGGATTGTTCTAGGAACAAAACTAATCTAATAATAAGTACACCGATTAGAAAGAGGATAGTACCGTATTCGTATTGGTTGCACTAGTAGCAGCACAACCTTCTCCAAGGATGTTTATAATATAATACATTTATCCTTGAACGTTCTCAACTAGTCAGTGCTAAATTTAAACATTTTCCCCTACTTCTTAGGAAAAATACTCCATATTTATGCAACTAGGGAAATAGTAAATTTTTTATGATATCTAGAGATTTCGTAGTTTTTTACAACATATAAAATTTTGGACTATAATAAGTTTTACATGTGTAAATTTGTTTTTACTAAACAGTTCTCTCGTTATATTTGGCTCCACAGCATAAAACAAAATAGGGAATTTTTACTTCTGCTTAACATGAAATATTTTTTTTTGTTATTTATTTTATTCATTTGTATTCTCAAGTCTACTCATCTGGTCTCATCACCGCTCGCTTGGATTGTCGAAGTGTAAACATCATGAATACAAAATGCATATATACCTACCTACTAAAAAATTGTATGCACCTAATAAATGAACTAAGGTCGCTGAGTATGTAACGACTTTCAAAAGGAAATTAAAACACTTTATTTCTGATACACCGAGAGTGTAGATCCATAACGCTGTGGACCTGAAATTAAATTTTAATCAAACACTCAAATAGGACAGTCACGCATTCCACACACATTCCTGCGATGTTGATTTTAAAGCTGCTTACTGAAATATTAAAGATTGTTTGTAGTTGATATTGTTGAATCCTTTTTTTTACATTTTTGTAATTTTATATCTTACTCTGTATATGTATCTTGTTTCCTCGCGCACAGGCAATGCCTTTAGTGAGTGTATATTAAGTTTCTATTTCTATTTTATATGCTATTATGTTATAATATTATGTTCAGCTTTTATGGAAATAAACTTATTATTATTATTATTATTTACATTTACTTAATAGCAATATTAATAACCAATATTCAAATATCTATACAAAGTGTAACTTTGGACAGAGATATCATATTTATCCGGAGTCTACCTTTGACCTTTAGGAACACATCATAAGTTTGTTTGCTCGAATTCCGTAGTCCCTAGTGAAAACTATTATAGCTATATTTTAACCTTTTCTTTTAGTAATTTTCATAGCCCACCACTAGCTCTGGACAGTCACAGTCTCTTAATGTCGTAATATGCATATCCGAAACGAGGCAAAATTCGCCTATGTTTCGGATATTTGCAACAATTCTAGAAAAGAAACAAGAAACCCATATGGCGCAATTCCCGCCGTAAAACTGAAAAACTCAATTTTTCACCGTTATTTCTTCATCGCGAGACTGCGAGACTTCGCAGACCGCCATGCAGAATCGTCCACGACGATACGAATAAGCACGCGTCCGAGCGCTGCGGCTCTCTTGCCACAAAAACGTAGAAATTCAACGTTTCGAAAAATTTCACTGATGTTTCTAAAAATCACCCATCAACATACTCGGTAGAGGTAATAGCTGCCAAGAGTCCTGCGTCCTCTCGGACGACAACGACAACGTATACATGTATACCGCTATCTCCCCGAGGTTGCTTAGAAATGCAAGGATGGTCAAAATTTTTCGCCCCACTTTCTAAAATGTGGCGAAAATAACAATACCCTAAGGACTTCAAATTCACTTCCCTAAATGACCTTAGGGTCGATATTAACCCACATCAGTTTCCGAGACAGTTGTATTGGTCGAGAATGAAGTTTTACCAGTTTCAAAAATTCTGGAACTAAACCGGACCATCATATATCATGCTGCCTAGCAGAATGCACCCAGTGTGGGAACACCAACCCAGGTTTCCTGCACTTATTTAACCAGAGCATAGTTACTTCGCCTACACTATATTATTATTAAGAAAATAAAAAAAGCTCATGAATTTTTAAACCACATTTTGAGATATAATTCTGCTAAAAGTTACCAATCTGAGCGCAACGCTCACATACACAGCTTTCGCGCTGCAATATTTATAAGCTCCTCAAGCTTAACGCACAGGTACTTTAAGGAGGCCGTACACTACAGTGCTCTTAGCCAGTGCAAAGACGGTGATTTTCAAACAGTAATGTAGCAGACCCACCAGTGAATACAGGATTCAGTTTAAAATCCAAAACATTTAATATAATACAAATGCTTAATAAATTCAAGTGCCAGTGTTCAAAGTGAGTCTTAAATCAAACACAAATCAGCATGGACCATCAACCCGAAGCAAAACTATAACACAATGGAGAAAGAGCGTAAATCTCCTAAAAGGGGAAACACACGAGATACTTAGGAACCCCCTCATCAGCGAACGAGAGACCAACATCTCGGCACCGCCGGTGAAAACGGACCCAGACAATACACTCCTTCTGGACCTATTGGGAGGGTTTACAACTTCCACAATATGCTGAGGAGAGATGTAAGTAGTCAACTCCTCTGAAAGCTAGTCAAACCAAGTAAAATCCGCGTCTTGGCACTCAATGTGGAGCTATGATAGAGGATAGACTACTGACCTACATAAATCTGCAACATTACACTACTATTACTGTTCCGTCATTGTAAATAACGAAAACGTTTAATACTTTTATTAGTTGGAAGAGCATAACTTGAACATAATATTTTTACGTTTCGTTAGATTAGAAGCTTAAATTACACTAGACGAAATGCAAGCTTGGGTCCATAATGCAAACCTCCCAAGTTTCATTAATTCACTGCCTTAGATATGCACCAAACAAAGGTGGTCACTATGATTAACCATAGGAAGGTATGATGCGAATTAATATAAATATATGTTTTTACTTATATTACTACAAATCAGTACTGAACCTATATAGACAACAAGAAGTTACTGTATAAAAAATAAAAATATATACAACATATTTATGTCTTATTTAATTTTATATTGTAGAACATATATTTAACACTATATTGGTAATGTTTCTACAGTTACCTTTTGGAATAAAAGAATATCTTATATTAAACCTATGAAAATGTGATTAACTTATAGGAAAATGTTGATTACATCAACATGCTATACACAACAATATACATATGTATAAATGAAAAATAAGCAAAAGAAAAAGCAAAAAACCCACTTCAATAATATAAGAAATACAAATATTTTGTAAATGTAGTTTCTTCAGTTCACAATAAATATTTACAAAAGGCAAAGACAGATAAACTTAAAACAGTAACATATAGATCAACAAAAAATATATACAAAGTTATCAAATAGATAGATATAAAACGATATATTTCAAGATTGTATTGTTTTCAACAAAATATACTTTGCCACATTAGTAAAGTATCACCGAGCTTATCTGACAGATATGGCAAACCACTTTTTTTAACAACGAATCGACATGAAATTTTGTATACAGCTTCAGAATAACATAACTCAAGGAATATTGTAAGGGTTTTTTGATTGATTAACAATTTCCATTGTTATTAACAATTTAATTCAAAATTTTTCGTCCTTTTTGACATTTTTTTTAATGTTCACTAAATCAACCATTATTAATGTTTTCTAATTTTCCTATGATGTTCCCTAGCTTTTAATATACAGTATGTCCACAGAAAAGGTTTTGAATACGAAAAACTTTATTTTTCATTTTATCGAAAAAAGTTACTTTTAATACAAAATTTTACTGGCTCTTAAAGTAGGATTGGAATAGAAAAATTTTACATTTCTTGTACAAGGTGTTCAAAAAATTGAAAAAATTTTAAATGGTACAAGAGTAAAGTGCACTTATTTGTGAAGATGTGGAAATAAGTTACTAGGAAAAGTTGTTAAAAAGTAGAAGGCAGTCTCTAATACTAATTTTTGTAATCATTAAATGTATTTTATACAAATTAAATTATTCCAAATTAACAATTCAATCTTGTTCTAGTGACAAGTTGACTTGGCAATTCGCTGTTACAATTTATTACCCATCGCCAATGTCAGGTTAAAATGCTTACTTTACAGCAAAAAATTTACTTAGTACAATGTTAAGTTATGGGTGAGGGTTAAATATTTTGAACACCCCGTACAAGAAATGTTAAATTTCTATCCCAATCTTACTTTAAGAACCAGCAAAATTTTTATCGGGAGTAACTTTTTTCGATAAAATGAAAAATAAGAAAGCTTTTCCTATTTAACACCTTTTCTGTGGACATACTGTATATCAGAAATTTTTTGGTTTTTTGTTCCAAGACCACTTAATAAGAAACCATTCTGGCCATACAGCCCTCTGAAAAAAAAGGCGTTGTTGTTTGCCATCACCTACAGCCGCCATTTTGAATCCAAATTGTTTGAAAAAAATTCAACTACCTGGAAACATGTACAATAAAGCCTTTTTGTTGCTGACACTATATCTTGTAACGATTTTTCTTTGAAAATTTCCAAAAATCACCTTTTTTCCAACCTTTAGAGTGGCGTTACCCCTAAAGCAACCCATTTTAAAATTTAATTAATATATTTATATTTCTGTACGTACATGAATTAATATATAAACCTTTTAAGAGATACACTCTTTGCTATTAGAACTGAAATTTTTACAGTAAAGCCTCGATCAAATAAAAAATATGTATGTAAATTTATTAAAAAAGTCGAAATATAAAAACAATGTCAGTAAATATGGAATACAGTGTCCCACGAAGAAAAGCGTAAACTTTAAGAAAATAACATTCCCGAGGTAAAAAACAAATAAAAATATAGAATTTCAATTTGTTTTTTTTTACCTTTGAGTAACAAATCTTTACAAAATTTTGCTTACATTTAGCACTTACAAAACTATGGCTAGTGATTTTGTATTTCAATTATTTTTTTAATATTACTATACAATAAAAACTTTACAGAAACTCTTGGCAAACTTTTATATTTTTTTATTTTGAAGTAAATTGTATAATTCTCTGCGGATTTCAAAAGAATTTTAAAAGGTTCACAAAAGAAAAATAATTATCTGCAAAAATATGTCCTCTCTTATGGCAAAATAAAAAAATAAAATTCTAAAGATGTGTATACATATTACACAAAGAAATTATTATTATATACGGTAAAAATTGGTTATAACGACATCGTTTTATACGGAATTTGGAAGTCCCGATTAAATCCTATAGAAATACCATATTAAAAATATCGTTTACTACGACACCATTTACAACATTTCGGCTTAGTGACATGTTTTTATATACATTTATCATAGAATCTATCAGCTATAACAACCAATGGCCTTAAAACCAATGCACCACTCTTCCGCCCCGGCCCGCCAGCATCCACTCTCTCGACACCAGTTAGTCAATACATTTGGGGCAAATTACGACTTATCTACTCATACATTTATATTATATGTATTATTTACCACTTTCTATCACGATGTCAAAAAGAAAAGTGTTTAATGTAGAAGAAAAATCACATATAATATGGAGACTAGAAATCGGTGAAAGTAATGCAAAGCATAGTAAAAGAATGTGGCGTGTCACACTCTACGATTTCAACAATTTGGAAGGATAGAATTAAAATAGTCTCTACTCGAAAACAATTCACTGAAAATGCAATTACAAAGCAATAGAGAAGCCTCTATTGCTACTGCTACTAAAATGGTTTAAACAACATGCCGATTAGTGGACCAATCCTACAGGAAAAGGCTAATGATTTTGTTTGGCGCACGGGCGAAGAAAATTTGGAGTGCTCTTCATCTTGGGTTCAACGTTTTCGGGCTCGAAATAACATTGTCTGTGGAAGTTTGTGGTGAAGCAGCGAGTGTTCTTGATGGTGTAACAGAAGTATGGCTATCTCAGAAATGGCCTGTACTTTGTCAAGGTTACAACCCAGATGATATCTTTAATGCGGACGAAACTGGGTTATTTTTTAATATGACTAGACAAAAACAATTAAATTTAACAGTGAACAACGTTCTGGTGGAAAAATGTCTAAAGCAAGAATAACGATTTTAGTTGCTGCTAATATGAGTGGATAAAAAACAAATAAAAATATAGAATTTCTATTTGTTTTTTTTTTTACCTTTGAATAATCTTTACAAAATTTTGGTTACATTTCAAGAAAATCTTTTAGTGATTGGCAAATCAAAAAAAAACACGGTGTTTTAAAAACATTCGCTCATTGCCTGTGACTTATGAAAACAATAACAAGTCATGGATTACTTCCCAGATTTTTGAAAAGTGGCTACGTAACTGGGATATTCAGCTGAAATCAAGAAAAAGAAGAATTCTTTTAGTCGATAACTGCCCCGCCCATCCAGCAGTCCCCATCAGCAGTGCATAAAGCTTGTGTTCTTAACGCTAAATGTCACCTCTGTTTTGCAGCCGATGGACCAAGGAGTTATAAAGGCTTTAAAAACACAATATAGAAAACTGCAAGTCTTACAAATGCTGCAAAACCTGGAAAAAGGTACACTTTATTGATATCGAACTGTTTTCGCCATGCCGTGTTCAAAGATGTACCTTCACCACCACTAGATGAAAGCGAAGATGATCTTCTATGCCATGTTAGTCACAACATGTGACGATAATAATAATATCCCTTTGGTTCGATTAGCCGAAAACATTTGAATTCATCTGTTTGTACAAATGACATCGAAGAATTTGTCAGTGTAGACAACAATGTGGCTGTATGTGCGTCAGCGACTGAGGAAGATATTATAGCAGAAGTCGAGGGTCAGTGCAATACTGATAACGAGGAAGAAAATAACGAAGAAAATCAGTTTATTTCGCCACCACTGAATGAAGCTCTCACTACCGTAAGTATTTAACACCGACATCAATCAGCGAATTTTGAAACGACTTCAACGTGAAATGCAAAATACCTACAAAATTAGTTGCAAAAGTTTTTTTGTATTCATTTCTAGTGTATTGTATTTATTCCGTAGATCAACAGGTTACATATACACACCTAAAGATTTGTATTGTAACTTTTTCATTTTTTCAATAAAAATTTTAAATAAAATATATGTAATCGCTTATTACATCTATCGGTTATAATAGCCTTAAACAAACGGTCCCTTGAAGGTCGTTATAAACGATTTTCACTGTAATTAATTTCAAAGTTCAAGAAAATATTAAAATTATTTTAAGTAAGTAACTTTTTTTCATACATGTATTGTTTTAAAAAAATTTGTATTAAAATATTAAAAACAATGCATTCTTAGATTGTTTTATATAAGTTTCTTTTTGCTTATTTTTACCTAAAAAATGTTCCCTTAAAGAGCGTACACTTCAACTTAGGACATCCTGTATCTTGCAAAAAAAAATAATTTGTCTAAATATTTTTTAAAATGGTGAAAATATTTGGATTTCTGAAAAAAAAATTAATAGTTACTTTTATCTGTCATTATAAACTCAACATTACGTAAATTCCAAATAGGAAGTTACAACTCCAATTAGTTTCCTAACAGGTAAAAAGAATTAAAATATAATGAATAACAATACATCGCGAATAAAAGAAAATTAAGTAATACAAAGCAGCTCCTCTTAACTAGCATTCTGCTTTTTTGCCAGCCTTAAAACATGTAAAATCACCTCGTCCACCGTCTGGTTGTTCAACAGCTCTTTCACTGCTTCATCATCGATCACTACGGTAAATAATAACTTGGCATTTTCTCTCATTCGACCTATATAATCAAAGTCTTCTTCTGATGCCGGCTTGTGGCCACATCTCTTGATAACAGAATCCAAAACCTTATCGACCGGAGCGTCTGGATAACCAAAATCGCGTAAACACTCCTCTTCCACTAATAAAGTTAGAAGTTCTTTGATCGATTCGGTCAGAGTGAGCTCATTCCAAATGATATTCTCAGTCAGACTACTCCTGGAAGCGGCATCGGTTGCAGCACTAAGCAGTTGCTGCTGCAGTCGTTTCTTCTCGGCACTTGCCAAAATGTCTTCAAGGACGTCTCTATGTCTGGCCCGCATGTGTCTCATCAGACAGTCTTGGCGAATAAATGCCCTGCCGCATGTATCGCAGCTGCATGGCGGCTCTTTGCGATGTGTAAGCATGTGGATCTTTAGGGATGACTTCGCGGCAAAGGACTTTTCACAGATATTGCAAGTAAAAGCTGAAACAAATCAATCAAAAACTTATTGATAATTTTATAAAATCGTAGTGGCATAGTGGAATAACCTAGGCAAGTACAAATGACATTTAGAAGTCATGTGTCAAGATTTACTACTTTTTAATCTGATAAAATATTTGGGTATTGGTAAGGCAACTGTAAAGTGCCGTTCATTTGGCATATTGTTCCAGTAATATGTCCAGCTTGTGTACACACATTTGGAATGTTTTATATAGGGTGATTCAGTCATAATGTCATTAATTTTAAGAGGAGATAGAGAAAAATGAATATAACATGGCGCGATTAAAAAAAAATTTAATGCATATTTAAACTGAAAAAGAAAATAATTTCAAATCATTATTTAACTCCCTTTTCAGGCTGTTACTGACCGGCTGACGTCAGCCGGTTATTCACATTATTGTGCACGGCTACAATATGAACAAGGCGCCCTAGATACAACTTTGTTATATTTATATATTTTCGCTCATATAAAGACAATAAATAAATGGTTTGCTCATATCAGCCAATAATAATTTAAAATGCTATAAATTATTTTTTATAATTATGCAATCAACATATTCAATTGTTATTGTTGCCCAGCAAGAACCTCGAGGAGGTCTGAGCATGCCTTGAAATCAGTTTTTATTAACATCATAATGTTAATTTTTTTAATTTGTTGTAAGCCTTCCGCAACTGCTCTACATTCTCTACCTCGGTATGATAATTGACAGATTTCATATAACCTCATATACAAAAGGTCATAGGATTTAGGTCCAGTGAGCATGCTGGCCATCTTATGGGCCGTCTTCTCCCTATCCACCTATTTGAACATTGATCGTCTAAAAATCCACAGACATCGCGAGTGAAATGGGCCGGAGCTCTGTCGTGCATATACCACATATCCCGTAGCATCTGAAGGGGAAGGTTTTCAAACAATTCTACTAAAAATTGAACGCAGCCCATTCAGATGTTCAGATAGAAAATGCAGCCCAATTAAACAATTGCCATATACTCCTGCCCATATATTGACGGGTTTTCATCTGACCAAATGTGACTATTATGGCTGCACAGAAATAATCAGCTCTGTTTCACTTTAAATACAATTTAATATTGAAGTTACAAAACTCCAAGAGTTCAAATAATTTAAATTTCATATCATAACCATTTCACCAACCATCCACCATCAAAAACCAACACTCGCTAGATAAATTATAAAGAGAGGGTGAAAAGTATGTAGTATTTAAATATTGACAAGAGAGACTTGTATAATTCCACAAAAAAAACAATCGGACGGAGACAAATTCCAGCACAATAAACAACTTGGTACATGTTTCCGACGTAAGCTAACCTGTCCAGGTCACTAACCTTCTAACCTACTTTTGACTTGCACGTGCACTATATGACTAGAACTTGGACAAGACGTAAACACACATTTTTGTCTCAATACATGATAAATAGATAGTTTACTTTAAATACTGTGATAACATAAATACTGTGTTGTTATTTATTCATTAATGTTGATGCTAAAACAACAAATGAATAGGGATGATTGTTTTCGAATGTACGGTTATTATAATTTATCATTTTTAATATTATTAACGTTTCCACATTTTATAATTTATTAAGTTAAATAATACACAGTTTTAGTATTATGTTCAATTTATTATTCAATATGCAGTTGCGTATAACCACAGTTTACATAATAAATGTAAACTTTAGTATAAATGTAAACTTTGGTGTAACCTAGGTAGGTACTTATTGTTTTTGAGAAAGTAATATGTTTTTTACCAGTTTAAAATGCCAGCAGGAGTAAAACAGCATTCATCCGTCCAGAGCATTTTGTTAATAAAGTTAGGTTCTGCTGCACTTCGATTTAGGAACCAATGTAAAATTCAAGACGATTGGGGAAATCAGCCGGTTCTAAAGCTTGAACTTTTTGAAAATGGTACGGGTTGAGTGAATTCTCGTGCAATATCCGCCAAACTTTGGTTTGTAATATCTCCAATCGCCCTGAAATTATTCTTGTGGAAATAGTACGCTGCTCCTCGACTAAATTTAAAACACATTTAAGTCATTTTGTCGATGTCCTGCACGTTCTCTGTGCAGTATGATAGACCCCGTGTCACAAAGATGTTGGACGGCTTGCACAATTGTCTTGGGGGGCTTCCAGGGCTTGGAAAGTTCTGTCTGTCAGGAAAACGTCTACGATATTCAATTGCAGCGGCATTTGCGTTCTGTACACTCTCCATATAAAATCACCATATCCACATTTTCGGCATACGTATACAAAGCCTTCATGACTGACACTTCAAACAATCCAAAATAAACTAACAGTTTTGTGTGTATTTCCAATGCACATCTCCTTTCCATCTGTACGGTGTGATCTTCACTCCAAATTTGTGGGAAAAATGCGGGAGATATGGAGGGTGGTAGATTTAAATAAACGCTTTAAATTGTTAATGGTTTTGTAACCCTGTGTAGTGTATTTTGTATATTCGGGTATTTAGTGCGCCGACTTTTTTATTTGATAAAATACGATGTGCCTACAAACAGGTAGGTAAACCTATGCTTTATTTATTTTCTTTTAACAAAAGTTGACTTCGAGAAGTCAGGCTTGTTAAAACATTTTGCACTAAGTTAATACAATTGTTAAAATTCTTTATAATAAAAAGCAGCATGCTCCTTTATTTACTTGCATTTTATTGGTTTTGTATATATGTATATGTGTACTAAAGCGTTTAATACGTTTAACGGGGAACCCAAAGTAAATGTGATTATGATGTGAACTTGGCAACGCTATTCGCTTCAGCTGACCAGCTGACTGGTTCATGACATTACATTACAAAATTTTCCGAGTATCCGGACATCTGGCCGGACCGACCTCTTAGCGGGAGTTATGGGTTGATTTCCTTCATTTTTAAGTCGAGTAAAAAATTTTTTTTCTGATTTTCTGTCTTTATTAGGCCTCCCGAATGCGTGGTTTAAATTAATGACATTATGACTGAATCACCCTGTATAATAGTGAAATGACAATTAAGTGTGATTCCAAGATATTTTGTAATATTAATATCAAGAAAGATTCATCTTCTATTCCACCTGTTATGATTTTCAATATAAATCAAACTTAGGACCACAAATTATTTTCAACATTATTAAATTTATTTATATAATTATAATATATTGCACCGAAATCTGCTGCTACATGACGAAATTTTAATTTGTTGGGTTGGTATTTTAAGTAATAAATAAAAACACTGACTGATGTATCTGGGACTGCTGGATATTAGTAATACAGAATAACAGTTTATGGAAATTAGTTTCGGCTACTCAGGTTATTATTTTATTACTTGTTATTTTTATGATTTTAGATGAAGAGGTTAATGTGGTTAGATCATAATTTGCATATACTACTATTGTGAACTCTTTTTTAGTTAAAATTCATAGATCACTCCTATACAGCGTGTAACTTTAAGTGGGGATCAGTTTTTTAGGGGTAATAGTACGTGTTCCCCTGAATACGAATCTGACGTTCTTTTTTTTTAATCATATAAATACTTATAATTAGTTTTTTAAATTGCACTTTAATTCTTGTGTATGCCGTCACTATTAATATTCGTGTATTACAAATACATGAATTGTAGGCAACCAAGGGAGATAGTGAGTGTCAACAGTGACGAAGCAAAGGGAGACAGTTGTTGTTCCGCATTTGGAGACAGTACATATAACTTTGAATTTGAAAGGTTTTGCATCGTTGGAAGTCATCAACAGGTTACGGTGGTGCAGGTCTGTTGTCTAATTAACAACTATTATTCAGAGGGATGCGATGATGGAGGTGATATATTAAGTGTCTGCAAGAACTGAGACCTGCAAGGTATAGTTAGCCATTTTATTTCTTGTCAAAAGAATCCCCAACTTAAAGTTACACTCTGTATATCTACAAATCTTTACCCAAGTTTTTTAAAAATGGTCATTTAGTATTTCTCTAGATGCCACAACACCTTTACAGTACAGTACAGCTGTATATTAACTGATCCAAAAAGCTCGTTATAGTTCATATATTATAAAAAATTACTTACGTTTCTCCCCGCTGTGGCTCAACATGTGTCGCGCCACATCCTCTTTTCTGAAAAAAGTCTTGTCACATTTGGGACAAGGCAGAGGCTCCTCTCCTTCGTGCATAAACTTTATGTGGGTGGTTAACCTTAGCCTCCTGTTGAAAGCACGGTTACAATGCGGACATGTGTAGGCGTTCTCCCCCGTGTGATGGAAGATGTGGGCTCTCAACTGAGATGCCTGTATGAAGGATTTCCCACAGAATTGGCATTGGTGAGGTTTTTCACCTGTATGAATTCGTAGATGCCGGTTCAACGTCTCCTTGGCAGCAAATCGTTTGTCACACTGAAATACACAATTTATGTTGAGAGTTAAAGAAAATCTCTTTTCAATTGGTTAACCACCAATTTTTAATAGTCGCATAAGTAGCATTTTAAAATATTGTCTTTATACTGCTTGATTAAATTTTAAACACTTTGCATGAATATAAATAAAAAGTTGGTACCTATATGCAAAATAGGTTTTCATATTTATGTCAAATTCTGGAACTATGATATAGGCATTACCACCTACATTATAAAATATCAAGACTTGATTGCCACATAATTTGCCACAAACACCAAAAAAAGGCTCGTGTCGATTGGTCCAAAGAAATACAATCCTGGTGCTCCAAAACACGTCTATGACATCGTAACAGGTGACGAATCATGGATGTATGCGTATGAGCCTGAAAGTAAATAGCAGTCGACTGAATGGGTCTTTCAAGATGAGCCAAATCCAACAAAAGTTGTTCACACACGAAACACTTCTAAACAAATGGTCGCCTGTTTTTTCAAAAACTGTAGCGTTAGTACAACATTGGATGGTCAATTCTGAATGGCACATAAACCACTTGTTTGCCAGAAGTCTTTGAAAAAATAAAGGAGCCGACCACTGAAGAAGCAACATTCTCCACCAGGACAATGTGAGATAAGAGACTTTTTGAGAACTGGAAAAGTCAGACCGATGAGTCATCCGCCCTACAGCCCTGATTTGTCACCCAATGACTTTTTTTATTCCGGCACATCAAAGATAAATTAAGAGGTCAACATTTTTCGATGCCTAAAGTAGCAGTTGGAGCGTTCAAAATGCATGTTTTGGACGTACCTGGATCGGAATGGAAAAAATGCTTTGAAAATTGGTTCAAAGGCATGCAAGTGTATTGATCTTCGTCGAGAATATTTTGAAAAACAGTAAAGCAGGTGATTAATTCCTTTTTTGTTCTCTATTCCTGAAATATAAAAGGCAATCCTCATATTTACAATTTATGTTAGATAATACCTACCATTTGCTACTCACTTGATTATATATCGAGGGCGTCATATCAGAAGGGCGTAATAGCCACTATAGTCAGTTTTGGGTTTTTAGGATGTATAAACTCATTTAATCAATTCGCTTAATATATCAGAAGGGCGTATATATTCATAATTAACACTCTGTTCTAACGCATTTTACTTAGACGTATGTACCAATTTTACAAAACTATAATATCAGAAAGGCGTATGCTCATACGCCCTTCTAATACTTCTATATTACTTTCACGCCTGCTAGACAGTATTGGATTATACGCCCTCAGCTGATTTGGTAAACTTCACACAACCTTACATTTGATTAAATTTGTGAATGTTCGTAAATAAAAATTGTGTTGCTTTTGGTGTTTTTTAAGTGTCCTAAACACGGATGTTACAACATCGCTATATTCTGAAAAACTTCCTATAAATAAAATAAAGTATAACAATTTATTGTCTATGTGTCAAGGCAAAGGTGCAGTCATTCCTCCAGTAATAAATAGTTCCCAAAACGCCAGTAATAAATACTTCCCAAAATTCCGATGGTGAAGAATTTGAAGACGAGACATCTCTACAAGTACGAGAACGACTTTTAAAGAGGAAAAGGCACGTAAATAAAATGTAACAAATTTTAGTTGGTATTAATACAGTTAATGTAGGTATTAATAAAGTATATTTTTGTATACCATACACCCACTATTTAAATAAATTTAATACATGTTCTTTGAACATCCTAATATCAGAAGGGCGCATGAGCCAAAAATCAATTACATGTAGGCATTTTACTAATGTTAAATCTCCCCAATTTTATTGGCAAAATCAGCAAATTCATTTTAAATCTTGATTTCTAAAACGTTTTTTTCATTTTCCGTAAAATTTCAGATTTGGTTCATACACCCTTCTGATATGACGCCCTAAATATCTAGTTAAAAAAATATCTAAAATAGTTTCTTTCTGTATAAAATATCTTCCAATTTATCTTTATTTTGTAACGTAACTGTGTATATTATGAAACTACCTGATTTTGACTATTGTGTAAGTTTATTATATTATTTTTGTATAAAAAGGCAATACAATTGATGGTTATTCGGTAGAGATGCTATGATATCCATCATATATTAAACAACTTGACTGCAGATTATTTGCAAGAATAATTTATCTCAAATTTAAAAACCAATGGATATTTTGCCGTAGGCATTTATATATACCAATATCGTACTATGCTACCGCACATAAGACGGTATTTTTTAAAGGGCTATAAAGTACAATGAACTTCCTGAATGCATTAATGCATCCAGATCGTTACAAAAATATTCTCTGGTGTTGAAAGTCTTCCTGATGGTTTCTTTTTCAAAGTTGAAATTATCTGCTAAAACATTTAATCCGTATCGAAATGGTTGTCTTGTTACGTATTCTACTGTATCGACATAGTTTGAAAAGCTGAAGAAATAACCATTGCATGGCAACGAAAATCGCTAATTTTTAAATAAGTTTCAATAACAAATGCTTGATATTCACCATTCCACGACATGATGGCAAACTTCCCACAACTCAAAACAATATCTATGCCTTACCAATAGTGAGAATTTCAAAACATACAGATCATTCTGCCCATCTGACAGAAACTATCGTAATATATGCTCATGTTGATACATCTTTTAGGAATTTTCCAAATTTAATACGAATGGTAATAGAAAATATTTTTAAATTTAGACTTTAAATTATTTACTAACCTCATCACATTTATATGGTTTTTCTCCAGTGTGCATGCGACGGTGCTTCTTCATGGCTCCAGCAGATGGAAACTTTTTAGGACACAAATCACAAGGATACGGTTTTTCACCTGAATAAGGAATTCGTTAAGAATATATAGCAAACATTAAAGAGAATTGTCTACCTGTATGAGTGCGAACATGAACATTGAGTAAAGCATATCCATGGAACACTTTACCACAAAAGCCGCAGTTGAAAGTCTTCTTCTTCTTCCCCTGTCCTGCATGACCTCTAAGATGTTCCGCTAAATTGTCTTTGCGGGTAAAATATCTTTTACAAACCTAAAAATTCAACAAACTTAAAGATTTGCTACAATATTATTATACTATCATTATATTTATATATTACATTCAACTTTTAAAATATTTTTTGACAGAGTTTAATTTTCAAATCCATGAACTTTACAAATGACATGTTAATTTATATTATTTCTGTAATTTTTGTTATTTTTTAAATGAAGCAATATAATTATTTCACAAACTAAATGAGACAGATAATGTTACTCACGCGGCAATCAAATACTTTTCTAGGAAGTCCTGTGCAACCGGTTTGTCCGATATGTCTGTCAAGATGGTATTTTCTGGAAAATTCCCTGTTACAACCAAGACATTTCACAGATTTAATCGGATGTATTCTCATATGATCAATGAGCTGTTCCTTAGTTTTAAAATTTTTCTGACAATCAGCACATATATATTTATCATCGATAGGATGTTCAATGCTGCAATGGCGGTCCAAACAGTTTTGTTGCATAAACAGCTTATCACATTGGTTACACTTAAAATCACCCAACTAAAAAGCAAAACATTTATTTTAATATTAGACTTAGAAGTTTCCACACAGAAGATAACAAAAATGAAAAAAATTACATAAATATGTTTCATTAACTTCCTATCAAAGTACTAAAACATAATACCATATAACCAATAACATGTACTAACTATGCTTCAACCTATAGATAAGGCAATCAGAATTTAGGTAATTTAGGATTTTTTTACAACATAAACTTTGCCAAGTTTACGTTGGTGTTATGTTGTCGCAATGTGAGGGAAGTGAAACTGACATCTGATCAAGACCAGTGCTTTCTGGTGTATGTTGTCATCGCCATTCTTTTCATTTTTAACAACAAACTTAAATTATTAAGATTTCCAAGTACAACAATCCACATAGGTAGTAATTAAAAAAAAAATGTCAAATAATCGCACTGAAACCGAAATGGTTCAAATTTGGATTCATTTCAGAGGAAACGTTTTAATGGTGTATACTGCAAATGTATTGCTAAATGGTACGTATGCAGATGATTTGTTTTAAGCAATAATATTTACTTTTTTGTAGACCAAGACTTGGCAGAGGAACAACAAAAAATATTGAATATCTTTACCAAATTTTTTTATTATTAAAAAAAGAAAGTAAAATGAATCTGATTCAGATTGAATTGCAGTATTTTATTTACATTAAACATATTTTACATAATACATTATTAATACATAATTTAATTATATAATTTATTAATAAATATAACAGCAGCGAGTCAGTATTCGTCCACAGGATAAATCAGATTTTTGTGAGGACTTCACAGATAAAAGTTTTATCTTTTTCTTTAGAAAAAGATCATAAAAGTAAATGCATTCCATTCTCATTTATCAATTTCTTTTTCAGTTCTTTGAAGTTAAATCATAAATTCTAATTTTTTCGAACATTTGTAATAGTGTTAGTGTTAGTAGTAGTTGGAGAATAAACAGCCACAAAGTAACTTAAAATGTATGTCACGAAAAATCCTACTTGTTTTCTAGCTTTATAGTGAAAAATAGAATTTCATTTAAATTTTCAATAGTACAAGGAGTACCTCATACGCTAAAAAAATATAGTGTGATCCATTTGACATAAGAAACTTGTCCCTTTTCCAAAACATAAAGCCAAGAAAAAACTACATTACTTTATTTTGCAGAAAAAATCGTATAAGTATGAATATTCTTTCGATATGTGGGTGAGATATAACCTACAACCTACAAAGTATGTCATATCTTAAAGGTCATTGCTTCCCAATGCCTACTGTCAGAAAATATGTACTTCTTTATACCTCCTGACAAAGAATGACCTACTAATCTGCAAATACTATGGAGGCATGACTTATTTCACACCAAGTAAAATAGTTTTTAACTAATGATTTTGTGGGAGACAGCTATACTGAGAGTCCATTACTGAATTACACCCCCTCAATTTTTGTAAACAGCTATGACAGTTTGTCAACAGCATCATACTAGATATAGACTGGCTACTAACTTAATAATTCTTATTGGTATGTTATACAAATGCTTTAGATCAGGGGTGGCCAACCCGCGGCCCGCGGGCCGCATGCGGCCCGCCGATTGTTATGTTGTGGCCCGCGGAGCTGGGTGAAAACATAATATTTAATTTTAAACAAAACAGAAAATTTGTAAATTAAACTTTTATTATCCATAACATCGCTATGGGAGTATCTCAGTACAGTGACGAAACTATCGTTACAGTTTATTTCGTGTCCGTATGTATAAGAGCTGATTTCAAAACGCGCGCGCTAAGCTTGTATGTGTGAGAGATCAGTGGGGAGTGTGGATGTACCTCGTGGATTGCGGGGCGGGTATAATGCGTCGCCAAGTGAGTCTTCGGGAAGCTTCGGAAGCTTAACAAAGTTCTATGTATTAGTGTTATTCTGTAGTTTCGTTATATTTTCGCTACTAAGCCTTGATAGATTCTGTAGGTAAGTAAACTCCTCATCCTCACACAGGAGGCGGCGGATAAATACGCTTCTTTGATATCCAATTTGAATCTAGAATTTGAAAACCGATTTCAGGATTTTAAAAAACATCATGTACTATTTTGTGCATTTGCAACGCCATTTGCTGTAGACGTGAATTTATTACCTGGAAGATTGCAATTGGAACATTGTGAAATGTGTTGTGATACTCAGTTAAAGGAGAAATTCCAACAAGTTGGTTTAGAAGAGTTCTATAAAACGTATTTGGATAAGCATAAATATCCTGAGTTTTACAAACATGCTTTGTTCACGAGAGAACACGAATTACCGATGCTCATTTGGAAAACTGTTTGCTTGTAGCAACAACCTCAGTCGAGATTAACACCGCCGCCGCCATTATTCTATAGCTAGAAATTGGCCTCAATGATTTGGGATCGAGGGGGATTATCCCTCTTTATCCTGCCTCATCTCGTGTAGGCCTGGACAGCCTTCGTAGGTGGGCCCCATCCGTCGTCTACCCCGACCGCAAATGCGGCCGGTGTAGGCGCTTTGTGGGACCTCCTTTTGTCCTGGCTGGGCCCCGCCGGCTAGGGCCCTTTCTTCTGGCGCTCTTCTTGCTTCGCCGGCTCGTCTGTGTAAACCCCGGGGGTAGTGTCATGTTTATGTGTGGTATGGTTGGGTAGGGTAGTGCGGCTATGCAGCCTGGGATGCGCTTTGCTAAGGTGGCCCTTAGGCTAGCGCGGGAGGG